CCCATGCTGATGAAGTATGAAAACTCTTACCATAGGCCGTTGTTTTGGGCTTCTCAGCCTGGAAGGTTACAAGCTATTTTTTTTTTTCTTTTTAAAGCAATTTACTAAAGCCTGTGGTATTCAGTTGCAGTAACAGAAAACAGACTAAGACACGAACCGAGTGATGGCAGCGTTGGAGAGGCACTTAATGTGCTTATGTGTTGCTTACTTCTCTCTCCCTCCCTCCCTCTCTCTCTCCCCCTCCCCCTCCTTCCTTTTTTTTTTTTTTTTCTTTTTTTTCCCGAGACAGTTTCTCTGTGTAGCCTTGGCCATGCTAGAACTCTGTAGACCAGGCTGGCCTCGAACTCACAGAGATCCACCTGCCTCTGCTCCCAAGTGCTGGGATTAAAGGTGTGCGCCACTGGCACTTACGTGTTTCTCACTTTGGGAAGTGAGGTTTCAGTAAAGGTTTAGGGGTGGCTACAGAAGTGTGTGTGTGTTTAGCACAGTGCTAGCTCACACTTGGCTCTCAAAGAAATGGCGGCTGTTGCTTGCTCATGGACCAGGAAAAAATGGTGCAAATGATTTAGTGCTTGTCAGCATCAGCTCAAGCGTCAGCATATCAAGGACACCCGGGTGGGTTACCTGTGACTTGGTAAGAGCATAATAAAGAAAATCATGAGCTCGGTGTTGAACTCTTTCATGGGTCACACAGACTTTAAAATGCCGCTTTTTGATTTAGAAGAACGGGGTGGTGTGGTGTGGGGGCATCTCAGAACCCATTTAGACAAGGTTTGTGTTTCTTCCACCTTTTTCAAATCAGAGCTGAGTGTTCCTCAGATGACCTGCTTTGCTCTGTGAGTTCATCTGCTCAGGCTTGCAGAAGTGGGGCGCAGATGTTTGGGGTCAGGTATGACCACCGTCCACCGTGTTGAAGCAGCGGTGCATTCCTTAGAGTCTCTGCTCTGCAGTGGTGACTCGTTGAGGGTCCCAGAGAAGAGTTCACATGCCCAGGTTTCCACAGCTAATGTGCTCGCTCCCTGTATCCTGACTTTCCCCCTCCAGGTGGGCCTTTGGAATCACTGCATATCTACCATGCCTCATTCTCAGCGTGAGGGAAGAGCCCCTGATGAGGCTGGTGTGGCTGTGCACAGAATTGGCATGGTTCCCAGGCTGGCTTCAGCATTCCACCTTCATTATTTCACTAGTCCAGACAGAATCTGTGTCTTCTAGGAGAGTGCCATCTTCTGTATTAATTATATCACTCTGTTTAATCTCCAACAATATGTATAGAATAATTAAAGGGGGTAGTTATAATTCTCCAAGCGCACGAAGCTTAATTAAGGCGCAGGAGCTAGCTGTTCCTTTGACTGCCATCCAACACCACAGTGCCCTACCATCAGTTTGAGGAAGCCTCAGTCTGAATTAAAATAAAACACCCAATTAACAGACCACTGATTGTATGCAGAAGATGAAAGTAAAAGATAACAGAAGGATTTACTCACCCTCATACCTCCTGCAAAATTAAACACAGTGGCATCCCATAATTTCTATGCAGAATATAACTTGCCAGAAATGCATATGGGGAGTGTGCACACAGGTGTCCTCGGTACCTTCTGACAGACACGGTTAAAAATGCCAGCATCATTTTCCCAAGGGTCAGTGCCTTTGGTTTTCATAGACTGGCTGGCTTGAACTCCCTCAGCCTTCTCTTGCTTCAGGTTCTGGAGATGTTTTTTTGTTTGTCCCCCCTTGCTTGGGGCTGGAGAGATGGCTTAGTGGTTAAGAGCACTGGCTGCTCCTCCAGAGGTCCTGAGTTCAATTCCCAGCAACCACATGGTGGCTCACAACCATGTATAATGAGATCTGGTGCCCTCTTCTGACCTGCAGACATACATACATACAGAACACTGTATAACATAATAAGTAAATCTTAAAAAAAAAAAAAAGAAGCACCCTATTCTTCCTTTGTTAAGGATAGATAACTGGTCTGCCTTTATAAGGCCGGTGTCTGTCCATCAAGAAGTAAAGTTTTTTGGGACAAGTAGTCTGTTACAGGAAAGACTAAGGTGTTTTCTAAGACTATGTGCGGTGGGAAACAAAGGCACCCAAAAGATCCATCTTGCCACAGAACCTCGACTTCTCACGTGTAGAAACTAGGTGCAAAGGAGCCACATGAGGCGACCTGGGAGCTGGCAGAAACACTGTTTTGGCCACACTCCATGCTCCTGAGAATCTCTGGCAGTGGCCTGCACCTCACCAAAGCCCTCTGCTGCCTCTGATGGCCTCAAACATTTGAGCAGCACTTGTCAGGCAGTCTGTAAGCCATGGGAATCCATGAGTACCCCTCTGCCTGGGGCATCCTGACACACCCTGGAGGATCTCCGTGACCATGTGCTTCCAGGCTACTTGCCCTGACTTGTGTGGAGGACATGGCAACCTCAGCCTGCAGATTTCGGCTTTATGGATGACAGCATGGCTTCATTAGCGTTACTCCTCCCCATGATTCCAATTCTTCCAGTGCTCCTCGCTAGCTGCACGACTGTCCTTTTGTGTGTAAATTATCATAATTAATAAGAACTGCCTTCATCTTGTTTTTCTGGTTTTGATGGGCTAGAAACATTAGTGAAAAGAAAAAAAATCAAGATTCATTTGGAAAAGCAGGCAAACTTAGGATAATTGTCTTGTTTATCTATATTTATGTGTTTATTTGTATTCTGTTTCCTATATTGAAAAAGCTAGAAGATCAGGGACCTAGTGAGGACATTTTCTGTACACAGCAAACATTTTGATTGTCACGTTTGTTGGTTGAGGACAAGGGTAGAGACTCTAGTGTGTGTGTGTGTATTGTGTCTGGTGGGGAATCCTGTCCTTGCTTCAGTCTCTTAGGGGAGAAATTAAAACTGGAAAGTAAAACCTTGTGATGTAGGAACCCACAATGTCTTAAGTGCTTGATCAACCCCCCTTGGTTTGTCTTAATTTCTGACGTGACATTGGCTTTCTTATTTACTGCGGACCTCCAAACTGCTCTTTGCTCAAACAGAATTTTATCTTGTGAGTCACTTACTGGAGAATCCAAGAATTTTATTTTATTTATTTATTTATACAGTGTTCTGCCAGCACACAAGAGGGCACCAGATCTCATTACAGATGGCTGTGAGCCACCATGTGGTTGCTGGGAATTGAACTCAGGACCTCTGGAAGAGCAGCCAGTGCTCTTACCCTCCAAGCCATCTCTCCAGCCCTAGGAATTCAATTTTAAATTTGGCTTTCTCCCTCTCTCTCAGAAACAGGAGAGTCTGTTGGCTTCCAAAAGCACAGACAACAGTCCGTGACCGTCTCACAGTACAGTACTGGAAACTGTAGGGTGCAACGTCGTTTGTTTTATTTAGTTTTGTTTTTTTCTCATTTAGCTTTGAGTATTTACTTTAAAATCAGCAGAAACTCTTGACTGCCTTAAGAGAAAAGTGAACAAGAACAAAATTAGAAAAGCCAAAATAAATGAATGAGCTTAAAAAAATAAAAATTCCAAGAAGAAATACAAATTTCCAGAGGCCAAAGAAGGAATAGTCAACCCTTTTACAATCCAGGATTGTAGATTAAAGCAGTAAGAGACCAGGTTTTGAATCCCAGTTTGGAGAGAGACAATCGGGGAAGAGAGAACACATCACGCTGAGTGTAAATTGTTCTTCCCTAAAACAGTTTGACTAAATCAGTTAGCCTGAAAATTGTAGCTGGGCCTGGTGGCCCACAACCTTAACCCCAGCACTTGGGAGGCAGAAGCAGGCAGATCTCTGTGAGTTCAGGCCAGCCTGGGCTACCCAGTGAGAATTTGTCTCAACAAAACAAAATAAAAAACAAAAACCTGGTTTCTGAGAATATGCTTTTTAAAATTCCTTTTGTTTTGGTGCTGGGTATTGAACCCAATCCCTCCTTCCCCCAGCCCTACCAGCAGGCTACACCTTCTGCCCCTGAGAATTTACTTCAGTGAAATATAATTAAACTTATATAAAATTTAGCTGTAAAAATAAATGAAACACTGGTGTGGAAACCACTAGCTGTCAGCTAAGTGACCAGTAAGAGTGAAGTCACAGCAGGACACTGGGGACGCACACCTTTGAACCCAGCACTTGGGAGGCAGAGGCGAGCGGATCTCTGAGTTTCGAGGCTAACCTGAGTGAGGGAGTTCAGAGTGAGGTTCAGGACAGGGATCCATGGTGAGGGCTGCCAGATAAAATACAGGACACCCAGTTAAATCTGAGCTCTGAAACAATAGCCAACACCTTTGTAGTGTAAGTACATCCTAAATATTTATTGCATCCACAACCTTGGCTCGAGCACTACAGGTTATGAACGCCTAAGCTGTAAAGAGTGAAGGTAGGTCCGAGCCTGGCGTGCTCAGGTGCCTGTCAGCCAAGTGTGAGTCCCTCAACTCTCTGAAGTACAAAAGTTCGCTTTATGAATGTCTTTCTTTGGCATGTGCTTGGCATATGCTCGGCCCTGTGTTTGATCCCTGGCACCGTCACTGCACACGGAGAACCTTCTCTCGCCTGTACTTTCTTTACTGAAGTCTCTGTGACACCACCTGATTGCCAGAATATTTTGTTTAAAAAAAAAAAAAAAAATCCCTGTGGAGGACCTGTCAAGAAAGCCAGTAGGAAGATGAGCAGGGAAAAAAAAAACGAACTAAGGACCTAATCAGATAAAGGCATGGTTTATATAGATTTACTCCTTTAATAAAAGGACGTGTGTGAAGTTTTTCAGTGGTGGAAGAATACTATCAGCAGGAATTTGTAGCTTGTCACAGTGATAGCCAGAAAAATAGGTAAATTTAAAACTTGCTCATGACAAATTGTGTGTATGTGTTTGTGTGTGTTTTAAGCCAAGATCGCAAACTTGCCCTGTGGCCAGGATAACCCTGAACTCCAGATCCTCCAGTCTACCTCCCAAGTGCAGGCACCACGGGCGTGTACTCCTCACCTGGCTGCTGTGCTAAGCCCTTTTCTCTTTCAATGTTGTAGCTGATTACAAGGAGAGCTTCAACACCATCGGGAACATCGAAGAGATCGCGTACAACGCAGTTTCCTTCACCTGGGATGTGAGCGAAGAGGCAAAGGTTAGTGGAACCCACCCTGGCTCTGACGGAAAACTCTTCCAAAACCTTGTGTGGTGGTTTCCTAGAAGCCCGAGTCAGAGAAAAGAAAGCGAACTTCGTCCATTTGGCCTCATTGTCCTTTGGTTGGGACCATATGCTCCAGTTTAGAACTTGCATCTGGCACCCAGGGTGTCCTGCGAGCCCTAGGCTTCTCTCTGCCACACTGGGGAGTCTTCGTGGGGGGTGGGGGTGCCGGGCACCAGCAATGGGGCTTCTAATCGCATTTCACCCTGACTTGGAAACACTCGGCAGACTGCTTTTCTGTGCCTCTGGGTGTAAGGCCGTTAAGTCGCGCAGGGGTGAGTAACATCCCTGACAAACAGGCGTCAAGGACAGACAGATGTCTGCACGGCCTGGGTTTGGATAAGAAAGTGTTTGCACAGATAGCCGTGTTTGCTCTCAGCCACAGGTCTGTTTTGAAGGCCCCAAAGCCCCTTCTGGGTCTCAGCTTCTTCTGGTTCTTCAGCCCCATTTTGCACTTAGAGGAATGTTTCAGATAAAACCTAAGCTTGTTTTCTGCTTCGGTTGTGTGCCATCTGGGTGAGCTTGGAAGACCTTGTCTTCAATCTCAGGAGGAGGTCAATGTAAACAAGGCTATCAATGCCTCATTGTGCTCAGCGGGAAGGCCGGGTGAGAGAGGAAGCTGGCTGGGAGTTTGCAGGCAGGCTTTCCAGAAGACTATGAATTGCTCAGTGTCTCATTCCGCTCACGGATAAAACAATGCAGTTCAAACTGGCTTGAGGCCCAAGAAAGGTGACCCAAGTGGGCACAAGGTGACAGATCAGCAGTGCGGCCTGGAGAGTGTTCCAGAGAAGGGAACAGGCCTTGCCACAGGATGCAAGATACAGCTTCACAGAACTGCAGGCACAGTGTGTCTCTGGCATGCCTGTACTCACCATGGCTGCCTGTGACCCACTCCGTTCTCTCCGCACTCCTGAGACTGTCAGAGCTTGCAGACACAGCTTGTCTGTGCTGTTCCAGGGCTCCTGCCACCCCTCCTCACTTCAGCCCATGCTGGCCCTTCTCTTTATGTTTCTCTTTATACATAAGGGGCGGTCTGTGTAAGGACACAGTACTGGGATGTGTTGGAATCAACAATTCCAAATGTCTCTACCGGGTCCAGCATCCTGCTGGGATCTGGGTGATGTCGAACCAGCCAAGGATTCAATAGGGAACCACTAACCAAACAACAGTGTGACCAGGGAGAGGCCAGACTCACTTCACACTTACTGGAAAGAAAACAGGGCTCTACCACAGGTGTCCGACTGTGTTAAAGCTTGCTCTAAACATGACCTGTAATCTGCATTTCAGTGTCACAGTCTGTGGTAGCGGACGTTAGAGGTGAAGTGTTAAAGACCATGTTTCAGTAGGTCCCTTTGAAGGAGAATGTGGAAATCAGACGGGCTCCATGGAAACCAATGGAGTAGTTGATCTGCGTCTAAGCTGACCTTCTAGCCAGTTCATTCCATACCACTGGCTTACCATATATAAGTGCTCACTTTCTTGTCTAAATGTGTGTGTGCACGTGTGTGATGGGTGTGTACATGCATGTCTGGGTGTACACATGTGTGCATGGGTGTTTGTGAATGTGTGTGGGTTTGCACATATGTGCACAGGTGTTCTTCCCAGAAGACATGCTCATTTTCTTATGCACATTGGCAGTATACAATTGCTCTTGGGCAGTATTTCATGCTACTTCCTGTAGCAGGGTTTGTTTTATTTCCTTAATTTCTATCTTTAGTGGCTGCCATTCTTTGTTAACTGATAAGTTTTCAAAAGCTGCAAATGATTCCCCAAACCACAGAAGGGCCTTTGAAGACAAGCACTGAAAAGCAGCCCTCCCTCAGCAGGGTTGCCGAGCAGACTTGACAGAGCTTGCTTTCATGTCCGTCCGTCCGTCCGCGGTCGGAGGCAATCCTTTAGAATATTACTGATTTACTGTATGTGGACTGCAAAGACAGAACATCACAGCAGCGGTCGTGGGAAAGGTTTCCAGCAAAGCGGAAAGGAGCGGGGCCTCATGAAGCAAGTGCGTGCTGATTTCAGGAGTTGCACTTACATTTACACCCACCATATCTCTGTAGGCTTCGTGTGTGTGTGTGTGTGTGTGTGTGTGTGTGTGTGTGTGTGTGTGTGTGTGTGTGTGTGTGTGTAGCACAGGATTTGCTTTGTTTTGTGGCCAGAGAACACAGACTTGTGATCCGCAGAACAACAGATACACGTGGGAACATTATGCATTTATGAACCACTGGAAATTTTAATGTTTTCATCCGTGTTTCAAAATAAAGAGTTTTTATTTCTTTGGTATCATTTTTCTGAGACAGGGACTCCCTGAGTTGCCTTCCTGGGTCTGGAATTACAGGCACACACTGTAATACCAGGTTTAGAAGATTATTTTACTGTTGTTGCGGGTTTATGAATTATTTTAGATAATTAAGAATTCTGGAAACCTTGGGTCTAAGTGTTTGTACGGTTGTGAGTAGGTTCTCAGGATGACCGGCCACTCACTGTTTTTCCCTAGTTCTCACTTTCTCTGCGCAGCTATGGCCAACATTTGAACTTTTATGCACAGTGTCATTGACCCTAGGTTTAGGTCTTCTGTGTCTCCTCGTGTCAGGGAGGCAGCAAACACAATGAAATTCGAAATGATTCTCACTCTTGTGTGTCAAGGACTTTACCCACTGGACCTTCCCCTTAGCCTCTCTTCTAAAATTTGATTTATTTATTTAGTGTGTGTGCATGGGCGTCCCTATGTGGTACTGGGCATCGAACCCAGGGCCTCCCATATGCCAGGCAAGTGCTCTGCTTCTGGGTGCCTTACCCAGCTCCACTCCTTCGCTCATTGCCTCTGTGGCTGCTCTGCATGCTGCGTCTGTCTGTCTGCCCTCTAGAACAAACAGGAGAAAGGAGAGGACAGCAACACCCAATCATTTAGCTTGCTTTAATTATGGGAGCAGCATTAGGCCAGGAAGGCGCTCACAGTCTCAGCAAGGTCGTTCCCAGACTCCCAGCACAGCCTGGCAGCCCGGTTCAGGCAGAGCCTGCAAGGCCTTCCTCTCAGAGCCGGTTTTTCCGGTTGGGCACAGCGCCTTTCTGCTAGGTGACCCAGCAGGCCAGTCTTGGATGGACCTGTTTTCCCTCTGTGCAGTCTGGAGGACCACGTGCTGTGCTGTGCTGTGCTGTGCTGTGCTGTGCTGTGCTGTGCGGTGCGGTGCGTTGTCTCTGGTCCTCCATGTCTAGATGGCGAGGTTCTGAGTGCTGCCCTGTCAGAGCATGGGAACTGGTGAGGTGGGTCTGGGCCAGTGCAGCAGAAGACCCCTGCACGAGGTGCAGATGCAGGGCATTTATCTTTCTTACAGGGTCTCTCTATATAGCCCCAGCTGGCTGTGAACTTACAGCAATCCTCCTACCTCAGCCTTCCAAATGTTGGTATTACAGGTATTGTCACAGCCCAGCTTCCAGCTCCTGATGTCCCCTTCCTCAGCTGTAGCACGAATCTTAAAAGGTCTTGTTAATAAAAACAAACCCAGTGCCAGTTATTGGGGTGAATGCTGGAAGATCAGAGAAGAAGAACAAGCCACATCTACCTCACCTTGCCAATTCCTCAGCTGATCCTGTTTCCTCAGACTGGAAGCCTCTGAGTCCTCATCCAGAATGAATCTCAGCTGAACTGCTGCTAAAAGCCTAAAAGCTTAACCAGGCTCTAGTTCCTGGTCTTCACGCCTTAAATACCTTTCTGCTTCCTGCCGTCATTTCCTGGGATTAAAGGTGTGTGTCACCATGCCTGGCTGTTTCCATTGTGGCCCTGAACTCTCAGAGACCTGGATGGATCTCTGCCTCCAGAAGGCTAGGATTAAAAGTGTGTACCACCACTGCCTGACCTCTATGTCTATCTAGTGGCTATTCTGTTCTCTGACCCCCAGATAAGTTTATTGGGGTACACAATATACCAGCCACACTCAGCTTTAGTTTGGCCAGCTGGGAAGTGGTGGGGAGCGGGGGTAAGCACTCGGCAGATGCCTAAGGTCTCCCCCACGGGATTATGGTAGGAGAACTGTGCCATTCTCTTCTGTGACTCCGACTCACAGGGACATTCCAGTTTTAAGTTGTTCTTGTCACCAAATGCTGGTACTTACAAGGCAGGTTTGTCAAGCATGAATCTCCAGGATGCTTCACAACACGAGACTGTTGAGTTGTGAAGAGCGGTGAGCTCAGAGGGCTGGCGTGGATTGCTGGCCTTCCACAGTGGCAGCATCACCCACCCAGTGCTGCCTTAACCTCAGTCCTTCCCCGGGTTTCCAGGGAGAGTCCTGAAGTCCCCCACTTTTTATCAGTGCTGTGCTCTCTGTTCACAGGGATTTGGAGATTAACATGCTAGAGAAGTCTCGTGGTGACCACACAGTACACAGTGTTGGGGTGCTGCTGAGTTCCTTGTGGATCACTGTCCTCTTTGTGTCTTTTTACCACAGCAGGAGACCAACCCCCACTCCCGCACCCCCATCTCTGTGTTTACCCCTTCCTACACTTTATCAAATGCTGGGATGAGATGAAGGAGGTTCCCCACCCTTTGAGTCTTTAAAACCAATCTCTCTGCAGCCAATGTTTTGCAAGGGTCTTGATTCAGTAAAAATACTTCTCCCTCACTACTATCAAAGAGATGAGTGGTACTCTCATCTTCCTTTAGAAATGGTTTACTTATTATGATGATGATGGTGATGATGATGACGATTGTGTCTCTGTGTGTGTCAGCGTGGGACACAGGAGTCAGGACATGCATGTGGAGTTCAGAGGACAGCTTTTAGCAGTTGGATTTCTCTTTGTACCTTGCTTTGAGCCAGGGCCTCTTGTCATACTTTAGGGGATCTGGATCGGGGCAATCCTGTCCCCCACCTCCTGTCTCCCAGGAGGCATGCTGGGATTGGAGATGCATCAGCACGCCTAACTTCTTAGGTAGGTTCTGG